AAAAAATCGGGGGCTGTCCATGATCATTGGAAATTTGAGCATCATTTCCTCTATTTCTAGCCACTGGACAAGGCATGGATAACATTTATAAAAAGAGTGACATGCTCACCTCATGGTTTTCTCCCTCACTTTGATGTAATAAAATAGCTAAGTGATTGTTCCTTATCAGCATTTATGGACCTACTCCAGTCTCTTTAAAAGCTACATAGTATTATGGAGTCTAGATGTTCCGTAATTTAATAATGACCCTATTGATGGAGACTATGCTGCTATTGTAGCAACTACTGAGAAAATACTGCTCTGAACAGGCTTGTATACATATTTTTGCACACATGTATCTGCAGGCTACATTCTTAGAAGTTGAATTGCTGGGTCAAATGATAAACGTACCTTTAATTCTGACTGATATTGCCAAACTGTCTTCCAAAGGATTGTTCCAATTTACATCCTCACCACCAATGAATAAGTATGCCCACTTCCCTTGATCCCCTCTAATACAGCATTCTAAAAGTTTTTTGAATCTTTGCCAACCTGCTAATTGAAAAATGCTATCTTATGGTTTAGTCTGGATTTGAAAAACGGTATTTCATTGTGGTCTGATTTCCATTTTCTTAACTATATCTTTTGCAGTAAATCATATATGTAACCTCTTTTGCTCCTTTTTCCAGTGGGTATTTTTTTTTCTTCTTATTTGTAAGTACTGTTTGCTCTGAAAACTAATGCTTTGTTACATTTGTTGCAAAAATATTTACCGTGTTTGTTGTTCAACTTTTGAATTTTCTCAACTTTTGAATATTTTTAAGATGTAAAATTTTTAGTTTTACAAGTTGAAATATATGAATCATCTACGGTTACTAGTTTTATGTCTTGCTTTGAAAACATTCTCACCATTGCAATTGTAAAAGCAAAGTTCTCTGTGTTTTTTATTTTTAGTGTTTAATTCTTTGATCCATCTGGAAATGTTTTGGATACGAGGATTGAAGTAGGGATCCAGTTTGATATTTTTCAGACCTGAAACCACTTATAATAGTCTATCAACCCCAGCCCCATGATTTACCATGTATCAAAATCCTTATGTATTTCAGTTTATTTCTTGACCTTATTCTGTTCCATTTTTCTTCTTGACAGAATCAGATTCTCTTGCTTATTGTAGCTCTTTAATGTGTTTAAATATGCTGAAAGCACCCTCTCCAACTTTTTTCTTCCTTTTAGTATTTTCTGGCTATTCTTTCATGCTTATTTAATCATAATATCTTTAGAATCAGCTTGTGTAGTCATTAAAAATCAAAATCTTATTGATTCATTATGGAGATGGTATTAAATTTATAGATCAGTTTAGGAGAAATTGATTTTTAAATTGACTTTTTAAAATATCAAGGCTTCTTACCACTTCCCAATAGAATATGTCTTCCTATTTGTTAAATTATTCGTTGATGGTCCTCAAAGTCGTTTTAAAGTTTTCTTCACACGAATCTTGCACATTTCTTATTCAGTTTATTCCTATGTAGTTTATGATGCTAGTTCGTATTATAATGGAAATCTCTTATTCAGATACATATTCTATGTGATGTTGATTTGTGTATAGAAAAGCTATCGATTATTGTGTGATTTCAGATTATTTGTAACAGTTTCTTAGGTTTTCCTATGCTTTTCCTGCATATTCAAGACTCAGTCTTCTAGAAGTAAGCGATAAATTTCGCTCCTCCTTCCTAATTTCTTTACCTCTCCTTTCTCTTGTCTGAGCGCACTGACACCTTTCTCCAGCAAGTAGATAATAGTGATGTATTCCTGATACCTTTTGCCATTTAGAAATTTTAAATCTTTACATAAGAAAATCTGTTATTCTTTTCTTTCATAGCTTCTGGGGTTTATATCTTGCTTTGGAAGATATTTCCCACTCCCTAGATGCTAATGAGACATTCCATATTTTCTTCTAATATTTTATAGTTTTCACTTTTACACTTAGATCTTCGATCCATCTGGAATTTATCTCTATGTATTGCATGAGATAAAAATCTAACTTCATTTTTTCCAGATGGTTCGCCAAATATCCCAACATCATTTATAAAATTGGTCAGTCTTTCCACACTAGTTTGAAATGCCACTTTAGTCATATTCTAAGTAGATCAGTTTTCTTTTTAAACCAGAGCTTAAAAAATAAATAAACTGAATTACAGTAGAGAACAAAGACAGGAAATGCAGGCAAAAAACAGACATTAAGATAAAGTTGTACACAAACTATTTAATGTATATAATATAATACAAATGTCATTCATACCAAAATAGTATAAATATAAATAATTCACAGACAATTTTCTTATAAAATACTTCTGTAAGAAAGATTCAGAGGATGGACACCCATGAAATATAAGACTGTAGGAGCTGATTATTCAAACGTTGTTTAGAGTTACTCCCATCATATAGAAAGTTATTTAAGCCTCAAAGCCATAAACATCGTCCAGCTGCCTAGTTTAACCCCAAATCAGATGTTTCTGAGAGTGGATCAGAATGTCCATTAAGTAAAAAGCGAAGTCTGAAATTAGGGGAAAAAAAGTAACAGTCTCTTCTGTTCTTATAATTCTAGACGGTTTGATTTTTCATTTACATCTCTGAGGCTCTAGATGTATGTCAGCATGTATGTCACATTCCTGACACTGGAGTAGAGTGAAGGTGGACAGTGGCCCTATGCAATCCTTTCTCTTTTAACAGGAGAGGTGACTGAGTCATTGAGATCAAATGCCAGAGATAATAAGAGTCAGTGTGGATCTCTGAAACCTGTATGGAAATCCTAAAACGTGCACTGAAATGCATGCGTTCCCAGGGCTTTGAAAAGTCTATGAAATAACAAGTTAACAATTAATATTATGATAGTGAATGCTGATAGTTAACTGGCCACATCTTTTTGGTCTTAAAAGGCCTGAAGTGCTACTACATGTTAGTGGAACTACAACAGAGCCAACTGATGAATTTGTGTAACAATCTTCATTTTAGAAGATTAGAAAGAATGTTATTGGCCAATAAAAATTTCCATTTTCTTATGTTATCTGTTCCAGTTTAAATAAAAATTAACAGAATAGTCAAAGAGAAAGACAGATCACTAATCTTGCAGTGTCAAGTCATGTCCTCGGAGACACCTCTAGTAAGTGAAGAAAGCCCACAAGTTGGTTATGAGGTGTGTTTCTACACAGCATCGCTAAAACATGCGCACTGTGTTTTCTCACAAATGGAATGATAGGTTTTTAGGAAGCACATTTGATTGAGCTTTAATCAAGCAATTAAATAACAACAGTAACAATAATAATAACAATAGCACCAGCAACCACAAATAAGCCACTTTCTTCAGTGGTTGGGGATATGCGTGTTCTGTGTCTGTGGAGGCTGGAAGAGAGGTATGGCCTGCATCGCATTATATAGATGATCTAAGTCCGTTATGTTATTACAGGTACAACAGAAGCCAGCCCCAGAATGTCAGCCTCTGGGAAGTAACTGCTGTCCAGGGCGCTTTATAATTACAAAATGCTTAAATACTAGAAACTCTTTCACAGAGCCAAGCCCAGTCTCAGATTTGAAAGCACTTAAAAACTATCCTTGTAACAGCCATACTGCTTTATACTTTATCTATTTTTAGAGGCCCAATATTTGTTTGGCTGGAAGAAAAAAATTGGAACGTGAAAAGTATGCCCAGGAGCAAATCTGCAATAATAAGCAGCACATACATGTTGTGGAGGAAAACATTCAACATAAGACAGTCAACATAAAAACAGATTCTGCTGAGGCGTCTTTATAAATAGCAGTTATTATTTTGCTTTCAATTGCTAAGCGTTCTAAATAGCATGCCCTTAAAAGTCGTCAAGTTCTTTATATGAATATAATTTCCTGATCTTAACTTTCATAAAGTTATTATGAAAAATTATAAATGTATTCCATTAGCTTCATGTGTAAGTTTACAATCATCATATTGTTAAAATTAGAAACACAAGGAAGAAAAAGAAAGAAATAGAAACACTATCAGGCACTGGAGAAGCTATTAATTGGAAAGTATTAATTTTTCTGTATAAGAACAGAGTTTGCCTATGCAACTCTTTATTAAATGGTTTGAACAGATATCCTCTCCCATAGATTTATAGTTGAAATTGTCCCAATTGGTTGTCGGTAGGTCACACCCAATTTAAGGTCACACCCTGCCTTATCTTTAATGTCCCTTTCAATTCCTGAGCATAATAACAAGGAGGAATTATGCTTTGAACCCTAAAGGAACAGTTTTGGGGCTGTTTGCTTTACATAATTACTGCTATAAAGTAATTATACTTTATAACAGGTAGATTTTCACACTGTATCTTTAAAAGCAAAAAATCATTTTAAAAGGTTCTGAATCGCCTCCATCTGGAAAGTACAGAGGCATATAAAGGGAACGTATGGCTATTTCAGTACTGGGGAAATGCGGTCGTAATGCAGGGAAGAAAAGCGCATTTCCTGATTTCCACGATGCTGGGGCATTTTCTGATCCCCTTCGCTAATCCAGGGCCGTTGGCCGTGAGTAGGGCTAATGCAAGTCTCCATCACCAGCATCTTCCCTGAGACCAAAGGCCGGCTCCAGATGTGGCAGTGCAGAGGAGCTACCTTGACAGCCGGCAGACACCAGCGACTATGGTAACACTTAAAGGGCCTGAAACACCTTTAGTCACTGCTGCAGTGCGTTCTTGCATCAACCCACGCCATTCGACTTGGCAATATAGAAAATGGTAAAGTGGAGTTAAGGGAAATGCTAACGAATACTGCAAATCATGTTTAGAATGGAAATTGTGACTTTGCTAGCATTACAAGTATTTCCTGCCTCCCAACCAATAGATCCGTAACCAGGATGGCTTGCTGTGAGTTTTGCGGCACCCAAGCCAAAGCAGTAACATTTCCGTAAGAGCATATGCGCCATGACAGAAGACTACAGCAGCCCAGAAAAATGATTTTTCCTGGGAAGGTCTGTGCAGCGATGAATAGGGCTCCTGATGCTATGGCAGCTGGGCAGAGATTTTCACTGCTTCCAGCCCACAGTGAGGTAATTTTAAAGGCACTTTTCCCTTCATTTATTCTGCATTCACTGAATGTACATTTTTTGATGTCAGGGGGACATTGCAGGAAAGATCAGATGAGATAGGCTGACAATAGAGCCAAAGTTCAAAGCTTCTCTATTCTCAGGTAACAGCCAGGACAGTTTGTCTGCATTAAATGTCTTGAGGGCATGTGTCACTGTAACCCTGTCCGCAGCTTTTCAAACAGTTCAAGACAAACAAATCACTTAGCGGTTGAACAACTGTAGCATCTGATGCCATCACACAGACGTGGTAGCGACAGCCACTAATCAAAGTTCTTTTCATTCCGTTGAAAAAGAAGTTCCTCGGCTTTGGTTTAAGATCACTTTTTATGTTGTTCTTTTGAAAATTATTATATGCCAAGGTTAAAAAAAAAGAGAAAGAGAGAGAGAGAAGATTCTGTCTATAGGAACCGGAAAGTCAAGCCTTCTGGCGGCATGCTGCTCTCGGTGACTAACTACGGGGTCAGGGGAGAGTCGTCAGAGGTGACCGGCAAGGCCTGTAAAGGAATAGCCAAGCCCTCCTTCGAACCACCTGCCCAGGCCCCAGGTGAGACCCCACTCTCAGCTGGTACACCTGGGCGTCTGTGCTCTCCTTTCAGGCGTTCTTGCTGACTCCGCAAGGAAGCATGGACAACCAAGGCCAACACCACCAGGCGGTAGAGCTGTAACACCACCACCAGGAAATTCTTGGCAGCAAAGAACACCAGCATCTGGTTGATCACTTTGAAATAGGTCATCAGGATGAGTCGCACAACAAGGAAGGGACCGTCTTGTATGAAGACGCTGATTCCAATGTTCCACAGGTCGGCACTGTATTGGCAAAAGAACCGACTGGGGAACCCCCTTGTTGCCATAGACACAGGGCACACAACATGCTGTACTGAAAACGCAAGAGAGACCAGTTACCGTAGCTCTCTGACATGCAGAAAAGTAAGGCAGAGTGAAGTGGGGACAAGTCATCAGCCATGGGGGTTACGCTCATGCACAATGGGGAGTGATTCTGTAATTTCATTCTGGAGGGAAACAAGTGTAACCACCCTGCCATTTTACATCCTTGGGCATTTTATATTCAAAATGGATCATCTGTTATAAGTCCAATGACACACATGAAAAAAAGCCAGCCTCTGGTTTCTATCCACGTAAAAAAAAAATCAGCTCGTCTTCAAGTCCTCACTCACACTGGGGAAAGCACAATTAACTAGGCTAGAAAGGATAAAGAGCAGAAGAAGCCGCCCTGTCTGTCTTTGAAGTCTGCAGAGTAGGAAGGCAGCACGGCAGGGTGCTCTCAGCCTCAAGTCAGGGAGCCTGGCTTCCTCTCCTGGTTTCCTCATTTTCTAACAGCAAGATGCACGCCAAGTTACTTAGGCTGCCTGGACCTCAGTTTCCTCCTTTGAAAACTGGAGAACAATGACAGCTTTGAGGAGAGGGGCCCCTATTCCCTGACTGTTTTTGGTTCCATTAGACTAACACCCCTGGCACCTCTCCTTTCTCACCGTCTTTCCCTGAGGATAATTCATGACTTACCTGGCTGCTAAATTTGGGAGATGAAACAGAGTGTCGGTGGCCCAGAGCTGTCTGCATCCCCTCTCTGGTACCTGCCTATTTACTGGTTGACTCACTTGGCCCTCTATGTAAATTGTGTTGTGAAAATTCAAGCACTTATCTTCAAATTCAAACTGAAGTCACGTTAAACATATCTCTCTAACAGGGGTGGGGAAAAAAAGCCCAAATAAATGCCATGGTTATTTTATTTTGTCTAATTCCTTATGGTTTTGTTGCACAGTTTACAAGAAAGACTGGATATAATTACTGATTTTCCAGTCGAACAAAAGGAGGTCCAATCAACAAATGAACCTTTTTTGTTTTAATTTCTAAAATGTAAATTTAATTCAGGGTCAAGGGCAGAAAATAATCCTTTTATAATAATGAAGACTTCCATTTGGAGTTTTCAAACAAAGAATGCCTTCGTCTACTGGAGCCTGCAAATATTATGAAGCTGCTTTGATATGGGTGCACATAACGTACCGTTTGTTGGAAACACAATAGTGATTTAGTCAGAAGTAACATTTGGTCTTTGTTTTTCAAACAGCTGCATAACATTATCACCCCTGAAAGTTTACAGAATTTCTTTCTTAAATAAAAATTTTCTAAGCAAGGCGGTAAACCACAAGATATGGGAGGGTGAGGCCCAGCAGAGGGAATGACAAAAGAAAAACCAACGTAAGATCAATAGTCACCGTTCCTAAGAAGTTAGGGTCGGGAAATGGCTCCCAGAGGACCTCCTAAAAGTATTATTCGACATCTAAACTGAAGGTGCCTAATATTCTCGCAGAGGACACCAGCTGATTAATGGTATAGAGTACCTTCTGGGGCACATTACAACAAAATCTCTGTGTGTGTGTGTGTGTGTGTGTGTTATTGGCATACATTTGTTTGCAGTTATTAACTAGTAATTAGGTGTGGGGCATTTCCAAAAAGCCACAGCCACTCTTTCCTTCTGTTGGCAATTTTGTTTTGCAAAGTGGATGCTAAGGTCTAAAATGGCCCCTAAAACCTCTGTGCCTATCAAAGTGGACCAAAAAAAGATGCAGAAAAAAATTAAATATCTCTGTACAAAGATTAATTCTAACCCTGAGGCCATCAGGTAGGGTACCGTAAGAAAGGAGTCAGACTTCAGGAAAACGTAACTATTCAATCCTAGAATTTCTTCAGAGTAAAGTGGCATCCAGGAGAATTTCCAAATCAAAATTCCAGGGCGGGCTTCCCTGGTGGCGCAGTGGTTGAGAGTCCGCCTGCCGATGCAGGGTACGCGGGTTCGTGCCCCGGTCCGGGAAGATCCCACATGCCGCGGAGCGGCTGGTCCCCGTGAGCCATGGCCGCTGAGCCTGCGCGTCCGGAGCCTGTGCTCCGCAACGGGAGAGGCCACAACAGTGAGAGGCCCGCGTACCGCAAAAAAAAAAAAAAAAAAAAAAAAAAAATTCCAGGGCTCCTAGAAGTTATGGGGTAACTCCAGGTCAATGCATTCCAATAGAACCATCTGTGTTAGGAAAAACGTTCTATATCTGTGCTGTCTGACATCATAGCCATATGCAGCCACGGAGCAGGCTAGTGTGACTGAGGAACTGAACTTTAAATTTTATTTAATTTTAATTAATGTTAATCTAAACAGCCACATGTGGCTAGTGGGTACTGTACTGGATAATGCAGCTCTAGATCATCAGTATGAAATGGCCAGAAAACCGTTTACTTCTTGCAAAGTCTTGGGGGTTTATGTCTTTATTAAAATAAGCCCAATGGGACTCTAAGAGCCAATACTGAGGAAAAATCTAATTTCCCATGTGGCCCTGAACCTGCTCTTATTCCCTTTGAAGTTCTAATACAAGGGTCTGACAAAGGAATGAAAATGGCCCCTTAAAAAATCAGGAGATAACATTTGCATGCCAGTAAGTGTGCTGAAGCACAGTCGCTACAAACTATGTCTTATTTTTGTCATCACAAGGACCCTCAATCCTCACTGCAATAATTATCATCCCCATTGCATGGATGAAAAACTGAGGCGCTGATGTGTTAACTAATTTGCAGAAGCTTTTACACATTGCAAGTGATGGAACTACTGTATGAAATGAACATAAAGCTGTGCTCTTATCGACTTAATTGTGTCAGGCTCACCACGTACCAGAGTGGATCATGGCTTTCCTAAGTTTCAACCTAGTTGTCTTCTAAACTGAACTGGAACTAACACTGAGATATCGAAGTGATAAAAAAAAAAAAAAAGATAATCCTCTCAAATGCTTCCTTAGCTTCACTGCAGTTCATAATCAAGAGCTGTACTTTTCTGTTTCTTTGAGCAAACATCGGACACTTACCTGCCAGGTCAAGTGGGAACTGCAGCATACTCCAGGTCCATATAACAAGGATGGCATAGACCAGAGCAGGGCTATTCCTAGAATGCAGACAAAATTTTAAATTACTGATGAAAAATACGAACACATGCAGAAAAATCTTGTCTCTTTTTGTTCTCATATTTGACTATATCCTAATAAACTTCTTGAGAGTTGTCAGAATATCTTGGTGATACAAGATATCCATGAAAAATTCATGCATGATTAAAATGGAATAAGGAAAAAGAAGTTTAAAAAAATCTGGGACTTAAAACCCAACTTCCACATGTGCCAACATCTGTGTGAATTATGACAGAGCCTCTTGGTCCTATATTGCTGTATTTAGTTTTACAGAATCATGGACACGTTATGGGAGGGAAATGCTAGGACAAAAGTTAGACATTAACCTGGAAATTCAGAGGACTGATTTCAAGAAATTTCAAGGAGGGAAATTGAAAATTGTTCCAAGATTCCCAAGACTCTAGCTTAAAAGTACATCTCAAAAGGCCTAGATGAGGTTCAACAATTAAGAGCTTAGCATGTAAAAGAAAGTTATCCTCAGGTGAAAAAAACGTAGGGAGATAAATCCAATCATCAAAGATATACATTGGACACTAGGATGTAAATTAAAGGATGTGATTGTTTCATTCACCATTGGATTTCCCCAGTGCCTATAACAGTACATGGCAAATAACAGTCACTCAACAAATATTTGTGGAAGGAATTGCTGAACGAATAATCAAAGGATCTGTACTTGGAAGAAACACAAATGTCATAGACCTAGGAAAATGGTCTTGAAGACTAAAGTCAGAAAGAAGAGAGGTTACAAAAACGCAAAGGATCCGAAAGAAGTCTCAAAGTCACGTTTTTACAGCAAAATCCCAAAGGAAATTATCAATTTGAGGTTAGTGGTGTAATAACAGATTTTGTTGCCAACTTCTCTGTCAAGAGGGATTTCCAGAATGGAGAGGGATAGAAAAACATCAGGGAACAGTAATTGAAACCAAACTCAATGAGGTGATTGTAAGGGATATCTTTAAATGCTTCGAGTATTGAGGCCCTGAAAAATTAGATCTTAAAACTCTGAGAGAATCTGTAAATGAGATTTCTAAGCCATCATTATCTGTCCTGGCAGTTAACGGTGAAGACAAGGTTGGTGACAAAAAAAATGAAGTCTTAACTTTCAAAATGAAGCAGAAGTATATTTTTAACTATAAAGGCACATTTACTGTTAATCCCTAGTTAGATTATATAACTGATTATTTGAAAGATTTCTGAGAGCCCTTATTGAAGAAGACAGTGTTACCTGAGAATCAGCACGGGTTACCTGAGAACAACGGCACTCAGCTAAGATTATTTTCTCTCTCCCCCCCTCCTTGTTTTTAAAATAGAGTTAGGATTACTAAGCAGATAATGATACATACATAATAATAGACACTGGATTTAAACAAGGCTCATGAAAAAAGCCTCCCATAGTGTTCTTATTAGCAAGATTAAGAAATGTTCTGAGTGTGAGCACAGTTAGGTGGATTCCTGACTGTGTAAATGACTCAGGGATCTGTAAAGGGAGCTCTCCAAGGGTCGCTGCAGGCTCTGCCTTTGACTCTGTTCTACTTCACATTTCATCACTGAGTTGGTTGCCGACATTGATGGAAGGCTTCTCATATGCACATATGACATTGGGGGCTGGATGAGAAACCAATACCCCAGAAGACATCATCAGGATCCACAAAGATCTTGACAGGATGTAACTGGATGACCTAGAATAGGAATGGAAGAGGTAGCACTTCACAGCAGCAGCCATTAAAAAGGCTCAAGGATTTTCCCTTCCTGTTATCTAATTATGAGTCCGCAGTGTGACATGATTTACGATTTTCCAAAATCAGATGCAATCATAGGTCTCTTCCCGAGACGTTTAAAGTCTAGAATTTTACGTGAAAATGCCTAGGGAATGCAGTCTATAACTTTTCCCTCTTTGCAAAGTCAATGTCTCTATATAGTAGACCTTCAGTAAGCGCCTGAATTTCTAAATAATCTTGCCTGCCGTTTCTGAGCTCATACTATGTGCCAGGCAGTTTTCTAAGTGTTTAGCTCTGCGATCACACTTAATCCTCATACCAGCTCGACAAAGTACGAACACTTATTATTTCTCTTTGGCCAGTGATTTCAGCATCCACCTTCTTACCTTTCCATGGTAGTATTTCCATTAAGGAAATGGACAGTTTTAGCCCTGCTCTGTTCTACAATATTCAGGGTGTATCTGACATATTATGTGTTGTCCTTCATGTTTTAGGAGGAACACTGAAAACATTTTTGGTCCAAAAAAGAGAGACTAGGGTGGTGAGAGGACTCAGAGCCAGACATGGCATAGTTCAAGGAACTAAAAACTAGAGAAGACTGCTTTAAAACTTGATTTCATACATTTAAAGGGTTATCATTGTGGAGAAGGAATTAAACTTATTTCTTACGACTTCAGAGGGGGCCAATTCAGGTTCAGAGGATTTGAGTTGCACCTGTAAGAATCCAAATTTCATCCCAGTAGAGGAAAGTACTTTCTAATAATACTAATTCAAAATAGAACACGTTGCCCCTGGGGTTAGTATATTCTCTATTAGTGAAAGTTTTCAAAGAAAGTCTGGACAAAAACTTGAGAAAATTTTGGAGAGGATTTTGTAACAGATGTAAAATAGGTTTCTCAATAGATGGTCACTTTTGAAGTTTCTTCTCATCTCAGACTTCAGTAATTCTACGAAAAAACCCATGTGCAATTTGTCTGCAAGGCAGCAGAAAGAAGTGGTAAAGCACGAGCTCTGGTGCTAGGTTGCCAGGGTTCAAATACCAGCTCTAACCCTCACCAGAGAGACAGGATGTGGGCTTCCAGTCCCAGACTAATCATTTACCAGCTACACGAATAGGAACAAGTAATTTAATACCTATGTGCTCTAGTTTACCCACCTTCAATGTGGGGATGACAGTAATAATAGCTATTGGATTTCATATGATAATTTTTATTAAATATATTGTTTAAAGATATTAAACATATAAAGCTCTTAGAACAGCACTGGATACAGACTAAGCATGGTATACTACCACAAGTTAAGTATTATTATTTTTTACCACGTAACCTTGAGACTCTTGCAACTTCCCTTGCCTGCCATTCTTCAGCTTATAATATCGTGGTAATGACAGTATCTACCTCATGGTGGTGTTGTAAAGACTAAGTAACTCATCACAACTAAAACCCTTAGAACAGTGCTTGGCACACAGCAAGAGATAAATCAATATTATCCACTACTACTGTTAGTAGTAGTAATAGTAGTTTTATTTTTATTATGTGAACATATTTCTTAAACTCTTTGTGTTTTAATTTTATTATTATACAAAACAGGGGTAAATAATAAACTGACTTTAGCCCTAAGTAAGTCAAACTCTAACCCTCTAATACCAAATATATGTCTTTTGCATTCACAAGTATTATTATCTGAACACACACACTATGGGAGAATGTGGGTGTTGAGAAACCTATTACTAAAGTTATCAAAAATAACTTTGGAAAAGATGGCCAGAAAATCTTTGGAGCAGACAAATTTGTATTATTAATTCAGACAGTAAAATTTACCCAGGAAGGTTAAACGCTGGAATATAAATACATCACTGAGCTTAAATGGCAAACACTCCAAATTTGTGAAGGAATTTTGGAGTCAATTTCTCCAGCATTGTCTCTGTTGTATAATTGTCTCCCCAACTTGTCTTGCCCCATTTTCTCATGTGTAATCTGTCTTCATAAGCGTCAACTGAGAAGCATGTAAGCAGACAATGGGCTCTTCATACAGAGACAAAAGATCATTTGAAGTATAATTATAGATGTATCACTTCTCTGCTTGGAAAACTAGGAGGATAAAAGACTAGCATTTGGTAAATCAGTGCACCACAACTATTGGGTGAAAAGTAAAAATAAAGTCATAAATTGCTAATTTTTTTATTAAAGTATAGTTGATTTAAAATGTGTTAATTTCTGCTGTAGAGCAAAATAACTCAGTTATACATAAATACACATTCTTTTTTATATTCTTTTCCATTACGGTTTATCCCAGGACATTGAATATAGTTCCCTGTGCTATACAATAGAACCTGTTGTTCATCCATTCTGTATATAATAGTTTGCATCTACTAATCCCAAATGTGAGGATGACAGTAATAATAGCTATTGGATTTTATATTATAATTTTAATTAAATATATTGTTTAAATATGTTAAACATATAAAGCTCCTAGAACAGCTAAGAGCTGTTCCCACCCCGCCCCCCCACCTTGGCAACCGTAAGTCTGTTCTCTATGTCTGTGAGTCTGTTTCTGCTTCATAGATAGGTTCATTTGTGTCATAGTTTAGATTCCACATATAAGTGATATCATATGGTATTTGTTTCTCTTTCTGCCTTACTTCACTTAGTATGATAATCTCTAGTTGCATCCATGTCGCTGCAAATGGCATGATTTTGTTCTTTTTTATGGCTGAGTAGTATTCCAGTGTACATTTGTACCACATCTTCTTTATCAATTCATCTGTCTCTGGATATTCAGGTTGTTTCCATGTCTTGGCTATTGTGAATAGTGCTGATATGAACATAGGGGCGCATGTATCTTTTTGATTATAGTTTTGTCCAGATACATGCCCAGGAGAGGGATTGCTGGATCATATGGTAATTCTGTTTTCAGTTTTCTGAGGAACCTCCAGACTGTTTTCCACAGTGGCTACACCACCTTACATTCTCACCAATAGTGTAGGAGGGTTCCCTTTTCTCCACATCCTCTCCAGCATTTGTTACTTGTAGACTTTTTAATGATGGCCATTCTGACCAGTGTGAGGTGGTACGACATTGTAGTTTAGATTTGCATTTCTCTAATAATTAGCCATGTTGAGCATCTTTTCATGTGCATATTGGCCATCTGTATGTCTTCTTTGGGGAAATGTTTACTTAGATCTTCTGCCCACTTTTTGATTGGGTTTTTTGTTGTTGTTGAGTTGTATCGGCTATTTGTATATTTTGGAAATTAAGCCCTTG